GCCTTGATTTTAAATTTATGTACAAATGAACACCAGAAAGTCCATGAAAAGCATCTGGGAAACACCTTCTAACAGCGTTGTCAATTGAGTTTGCCCTATCGGATATGATTGTCAGATTGTTAATAGAACATATGCAATCCCTAAGATACCCCATAAACCATGTCCATGAATCAGAGGTTTCAGATTTGCCAAACCCGTAAGCTATTGGCAGTATCCCATTGTTAGCATCCATGGCTACTGCTAATAAGTTTACTCCAAGGTATCAAACTTTCAAATGTGCTCCGTCAACTATAATAACTGGGCGCATGCAAGTAATAAACGAACTAATCTACAAAATAATATACACAAGACATGATCATTTAAATGTGAAATGCATGTAACTAACAAAAATGAGTCAACAAAATTATATTGATTTACTAACCGCAGCACCAATGGCGATAAACAACAACTCAAAGCGTTCATCTCTATATGTTTTGATATGAGTTACCGACCCAGGATTTTTCAGCTTTAAATTGTGACAATAAGCCGACAGTTAGGCAAACGATGCTTCTGGAGACCCCTCAACAATTCCAAGGCATAACATTTGGCTCTCCAAGCTTAAGAATATGAGATACTAATCTTGAACCGAGCATTCATGTCAGTCATAATTTCATGTCCCCGATATACCCTGCCATTCAAAAACATTAACTCAGCTAGAAAACCACCCAACACATTTACCTGTCTATGGTGAGGAAAAACTTGGGTTCTTGAACATGTATGTTTATCAATAAAAGTCCTAACTTGAAACATTTCACAATCTTTTATCCTCTTTGCAATCATACGCCACATACAGTTTTTGTCAATCATACACTTTGTTTCGAAACGATTTTTGCTTGATTTGTTAACTTTTAGTTGATAGCCATCTTCCACACATTTCGTATACAAAGCTATCTTCAAGTCTTCCTTTGTATCAAAACAATCATCTTTCTTGATACAAATAACGTTTGTGTAACAATCAACTGCTATCGTTACCAACTCTTCTTCCGGTATCTGAAGTAATTCTGGCATATTCCAGTTATACTCCCGTGGTATTTTCTTCTTTTTCTTTTCTTCGGGGACTTCTTCTTCTTCTTCAGGGTTATATGAATTACAGAATGGATGTTCAACATGTTCATTCCCAGTCGTAACTTCCTCCTCATTATTATCAACAACATCTTCCTCGGCAACTGTTTCATCATCAAAATTCAGGTATTGACCAATATCAAAATCATTACACGCAGTGTCTGTTTCTTTTTCTGAAACATCATCAAAATCCGAGTATTGACCAAGATCAAAGTCTGGGTATTGACCAAGATCAAATTTCGAATACTGGCTAGTACTCATAATTTTTTCTGTTGGCTCATAATCGTCTAACTGGTCAATACGAAAACCGGAATTTGGTGCTGAAAGTTGATTGAGATTTGGATTAGGAAAAGGTTGTGGGTTTTGAGATTGTGTTTGATATTGTGTTTGGTATTGGAAATGTGGTAAAAAAATTTTTCTTGGTGATGAAATTGTGGTGGAACCATTAAATTTTGAGGTTGATAACAACGTTGTACATTGTGAGCACCACAAACTGGAGTTGAAGAACTTAGTTGATTACTACCCGCTACTGACCCAACTTCACTACTTCTAGGTTCAACAACATACAATGTAACATCATCTTCTTGCGAAACACTAATGTAAGCAATGAATCGTTCAACATCTTCATTGTCGGTTAACAAATAAACTTTACATTTTCTCTGATAAGATAGCCTAAATCTACTTGGAGGCTCTAAATTCAATTTCTTTGCAACACGTAACATTATAGTTTTATAAGTTAATTTTTTTAATGACAGTTTTAGTTGAAGATTCATGGGTAAAGACATATATTGTAAAACACCATGAACATTCTCTTATGACCCTCCAAAACACAAATCTATCCAAACATGATCAACATTAGATGATTTCATTCTACAAATTGTAAATTAATTTACTAAACAAACGAGTTATAAACTACATATCATCACTAACTTAGAGAAAAACATATCTTTATTAAGTTGATAGTTGATAATTTGGGAGAGAAATCATTGAAAAATTATATAGAAATAAAATTATGTAAAAAAAATTAGAGATGGAGAAGGATGTCGTTTGATATAGGAACGGATGTCGCCGGAAAGAGTGATAGATGGAGATGTAATGACTTGCGATTTAGGGATTTAGGTTATGAGTTGCTGCTGTTGCGTAGTTATATACCCAAAACATGTGTTGCGAAACTAAAACCTGTTGCGAAATTAAAATTCGTGTTGCGAATTCAGAAATCGAGTTGCGAATTTGGAAATTGAGTTGCGAAATTGGAGTTCGCGTTGCGAATTTGTTGGTCATTTTCGCAAATCCAAAAAAAGTTGGTTAAAATCGTGTATTATAAGACATTTTCAGTCACTGAAGTTATTTTCTCTTTTTAAAATATAGTTTTAATAATTAATAAAGGTTATCATGAAAGATTCGAATAGTCTAAGTTTAATTTTATTTTATTTATTAAATAGAAGCAAGGCTCTTATAGGAAATTATCATTTTGACGCCCAAAAACATCATCAAAGTGAGTCATAATGAATAAATATTCATGAAGTGATGTAATTTTAAGATAAATTCAAGGTCCTATGACTAAATTAGACAACAATTTTAACTACCATATACCCTTGCATGCAACTCTGTGCATAGCCTGTTTCCCATAAATAAAGGGAAAAATGAAATCGGCAACGGCAATGGGAGTTCTAAAATTGAGGATTAGAAATCCAAAATCACTCCTCGCTTCTCTTTTACAATTTTATTTCTTTTTTCTGAACACAGAAATCAAGAAAAATATCGTTTCTTTTTCTCATAATGTTGGAAATTCTTAAGTGGGGTTATGGACACTTATAGTTGATTGTTTATGTGCAGTTTTGTCGACAATTTTATTGGTTTGATTCCTGAAAATTTAGATAGGAAAATAGAAAAGAAATGGGTCTTGATGCAAAGGGTATTCGACATTTTGTCTGGAAAATCATTAGATTTTCGGGAAGTTGTAGTTATAAATTTGTAAGAAAATATCCAGTTGTGTCAGGTCTTGTTATCTTTGTTTTCTTGGTGTACATATGTTTTCCTTCTCTTTTCTTCATTTTGATGTACGTTTCCCCGATTCTTATATGCACTGCGGTTTCCATCAGATTTTATTGGAAAACCAAACATCCTGATGTCCAAGCGGTTAAGAAAAAGGACAGTGAGGAGGGATTATCCGCCGATGTAAATAGATCAAACGAGGAGAAACCATCACCCGTTGTAAATAGATCAAAAGTCCCTTCGTTACGACACCAGAAAAGTGTTCGAAGAAATGCTCGAATGGAGGTCCTAGAATGGGATAGAGACGATTTTCCACATACGAACTTGCTTTTTTCGACAAGTGTGTATGATATTTTGCCCTGTAAATCCAGTTTGTTGGAAGAAAATTCGAAATTGGCCTTTGATGTCAACGGAAGTTCTAATATGGAACTTGGAGAGAGTTCTTACCTGGACGAGACTCGAAATGATCAAGTACCTAATGACACAAGTTTGCTCTTTGATAATGAGACATCGAAACCTAGTAGCTTGTCCGGAAATAGCTTTGGATTGCAGTCAGGAAAATGCCCCGATGATGATGGCGGTGGGGGTGGGAGTGTAGTTGGTGTAGAAAGATTGGAACAAAGGAAAAATAAGGAGGACGAAGAGTTCAAGGAAGATAGGAATAAGGCTGTCAAATTGACAAAGGAAGATGAGAAGAATAAAATGGATCTTGAGTTAACCGAGACGGAAAGAAACAAAAGGCTGGAAAGTTTAATCGTAAAACGTAGAGCAAGAAAGATGTTCAAAATGGCAATTGAGAAAAGCCTGATGGCCAAGGGTATCGTTCCCCATAGTCAAATTGCTCCCATTCTAATTGTTAAAAACAACATTCTTGGTGCTTCAAATAATGCCAATAACGAAGAGTTACAAATGCCTGGTTCTGCCCCTTCCATCTTGTTGTCCACACAGAATGTATTTGATCTGTCTTATGATCCATTTGAAGAAAAACCGAATCTCACGGCTGATAGTGTTCTAAAAGAATTCATCCCAGCCAATCAAAAGGAAATGCTTTTCTGCAGGCACGAGAGCTTCTGTCATGGACCTTTGTTTACATTTGATACCTCTCCAGATCCTAAAGATCATTTTAATCCCCACTATAGTGCTGAGAAACGGCTTGTTGGAGGTCCTGCAGCCGATGGATTCAGAAGGTCACCAGGTAAGCAAAAGATAACAATTTCAGCATTTTTTTCAGTTGTCCATATCCATTTTTTATTAGTTAAAAGATTCTTGATATTCATAGTTTCTTGCTTCACTTATCCATGTTGAAAGCTTATATGAAATTTTGGGGATATCAATGAAAAGAAAGAATTTCCTGAAGGCCCCGCCTAAATCTGTGTTAAAAACAAGAACTTAAATATTTTGAACTGGCTAAAGGAACTGAACATTTTAGGACAACAGTTTGATTGCGCAGTGCAGTCTACTGCAAATTATGTATGGAAGAAAATTTCTGTTTTCGTTCATTTGAAATGTGTTATTATCTAGCGGAATTATTTAACACTCGCCCTTTTCTCAGATGATGGAGGTCCCCACCGGTATAATTCTATTGGTTTTGGAAGTGAAATCGATGTTATTGAGGTAGAAGAGTTCAATCACAATGAGGCAATGAACTCTCCAGAAGAGAAAACTGAAAAGATTGCAGAAACTGCTAATGATAACACTGAAATAGAAGAAAATAATGAAAACCCTCATGATCTGAGTGGAAGTGAAGCAAGAATGGATATAGATTCAACAAAAAACAATGATTCCTGCTGCTCACCATCTTCATCTGATGGCTCTGAATCAGGCTTAGATCAAACAACTAAACAGAGTTTATGTGCTAATCAAGTCCAAAAGGCTCTTAATCTTATTCCTCCCAAGGGAGAACTATGAGCAAACATTCATATGATTCCACCCCATCTCCACGTAGGAATGAGTTTAATTTGTTTTACAATCCATATAGGCGACAGTGTCATGCTCGAGACTGCTCCATAGCTTCTGACTTGCAAGTTGAGGTCTCAGAAGTTGGTTCACCTACATTATCAACCGATGGAACGGTTTCACCTGTTGAAGGTGACGTTACATATGATGGGGATGCTGAAAGGGATATCAATTCTGACAGTGAAGAATTGTGGGGAGATTCCTTTAACTTAACAAGAGAGGCAACTCGAGAAAAACTGAGAGAACTAGATGATATTATTGAAGAGGATTCTGTTGAAGTAAAGATTTCTGGTTCAAACATGAAACCGGAGGAGCCAATTGTATCAATCTCTCCATCTGAACAGGAAGCCGTGCAAATTTTGCATAACGCAAGTTCACTATCTTCAAGGTTAGATACAACTTTAGACAGTGCCTTCTATCCAGGAAATATTAACCGTGAAACTCATGAAGATGTCATAAGAAGAGGTGAAGAAGATAGTGAATTCAAGATTTCCAGTGTTTCAGACAAATTACCATCTGAAGATCTGGGGAAAACCATGCAGTTAACAGAGAAGTCAATGGTTCATTCACCTCCTGAGCCTTGTTTCCAGAAGCCAGAGGTCAGTTATTTCGCTACTGTTCAGAGGCGCTGCAAATATAAACTATATTGCCCGAACATTTTATTTTTCTTATAGTACCTGTGTTCTTCGAAACGTGTTTGTGACACATTGATATTGGGATATGATCCTTCCAATATATGAATGAATGCAACAAAATGGAGTAAACTATTGTAGAATATATACAAGCATCAGACACTCGTCTCGAGTCTAATCGAAGTAATATAAGTAGTAAAATAAAGCAAACATAAAACTTTAGGATTAGTTAACAATTTAGCCTGTGGTCTGTTACTCGGTTCATTTTGGAGAAATAAAAGCAAACATAGCACTCCGAACTTTTAGCAGTGCAAATGAAATGATATCAAGTTTTTTCTCACATGAATTACTATTATTTAGGCTTACTCTATGCTTGCAACTTTATTGTCTCCTTTGTGGGCGTCATGACTTTTGTTTTACCTTTATTTGCCGCTGATTTCTGAATATCAGGAAAATGGTGTTAAACGTGTAATTTTTTTACTATTCCACAGCAAATAATTAGTCCTCAACAGAAGCCTAAGGAAAAGTTGAACATCATTTGTAATGCGAAGGTGATGACTCAAGGAGATGCTATCACTTCAGAGTCAAAATCATCTGAAACCAGAGACGATGGAGCCCAAGGATTCATTGAACCTGCAGCTTTAGGAGAGATGAGTAAACCAGATGACGCAATCAATTTAGATTCCTTCAAGTACAATCATGGCAATATAGAAACATCTTACGAATCTAAAAGAACTATGGACTCTGAAAAGAAGATGGAGGAAAGCCAACCTTTGAAATATATTGAAGAAGATACCCATGACTTAACTAAGCATAACACTGTAGATGCTCCAGATGCAATTCAAAGCAGAGGCCAACCTTCAAAGAATATTGGAGAAGGTACTCGAAACTTACCCGAGTATCATAATGAGGGTGCGCCTATTGCTGTTCAAATCATACATGACTTGAAAACTGTTCCAGATAGTTCAGTTAATCAAAATATTGTCGTGGATAAAGTAAATCAAATACCTGCATCAATTGTTGAGCAACAAAGACAAACCGACCTGCCACAATCTGTTATAGAAGACATAGAGAGGCACAACTCTGCAAGCAACCAACCACATGAGAACTCAGCTTCTAACATGTCCCAAATTTCACAGCAGTTGGTTGAGAATTCAATAGATCTCTCGTCCAGTAATTGCAACCCTCGAACATCAGAAGTCTGTACGACAGTATCAGTAACTTATTTTTCATATTTTAATGCATTTAACTGATCATGAAATCACATATAACGTTTGAAGTTTATGAATTCACATCCGGAAATAAGTACTTTTTTCCATTTTCTTTTGTTCCTACACCCTATTCTCTGTGCCTATCACTCTCATGCATGTGTATATAGTAATCTTAAAAGTACACTTTCAGCATGTGTTTACTAACATATTTACCTAAACTTGAACAGGAATTGTCTGATACAACAACGAAGAGTTCTAATGGTAGCGCTGTCCATGATATGGATAAACTTGTACTAGAAGGCACACATGGGAAGGAAGATTCTTCTATAAAATCCAGCAAAGATGAATCACAAACTTCGACGAGTCCAAAGGATGTGAAAGAACTATCAAAATCATTTGGTGAAAGTAATCCTAATTCTAATGAGCGTCTTGGAGGATCAAAAAAGTTGATTGAACAGAACTCTGGAACTGATCCATCAGAATCAAAAGAAGGAAATGCTAAATCAGATGATCCTAAAACTATGGTGACAGAAAAGGTAATCCCAATTCTTGATCCACTCAATTGCAACAACAATACAGTATCTTCATTTTTTGTTTTAGTAACTTCTACATTACGTCATTTTTTCTCATTTATGTCTCACGAAATGTCCCCTTTTTTCGTAATAGATGGAAATCCAAAATTTTCTTCTGTTCCCGGCCACTTAGCTCTACTTAATGATCAGAAAATTATATTAGTTGTTCATCCTTTACTGACATTGGGTTGGAACTTTCTCTAAAGTCTGCAGCAGAAGTTGACTGCAGTTGCATTGTGAATGAGTCCTTAACCGATAAGAGTTTGAGCCAGCTCCAAATATCAGGCAGTCAAAAGGCTGTCATGGAATCATCAAAGACCAGTGGGGTAACTAGTGCAGAATCTGTTAAAGATACCGAATATGAATCCACAACATTAGCAAAAGCCGATGCCAATGCTGGGCTATCAACTTCAATAAGAGAAAGTAACAGCTTGAAGGACATTAAAAATAGTGGAGATGTACAAAATTTGAGTAGTCAAGAAAGTCTCTCAGGTGCATTGCAATCAAAGGAGGACAATCCCAAGGCCATTGGTGAAAGCATCCCAGGTGTAGATAATACTGCAACGGGTGTCTGTAGACCATACGACTGCCATGGAAGCATCAAAACTGGAAGAAGCTGAAGTCAAGACTGTCAACACCAAGGAAAATAACAGCTATGAAGTGGAAAAATGAGGCAATATGCACAAATTTTGACACATCTAGAAACCATCATTCGGACAGCAAACAATTACGGTAACTTTCACAGTAGAAAAAGGTTGAAACTCTTCTATGAATCAATGTAAGCAGTCGGATACTGTTAAACATATGGACAAAAGTAGAATATAGGTATAAACTAGAACTGCAAATATATAGTCAATTATTAAAAAAAAAGCAATGATTCCATTTATCTTGAAGAGAAGTGGGTGTTCTATTTTCGTTGCATCATGAACTGAATGTTACAGTTGAGAAGAAATAAATTTCTTCATCATTTTTACCTAAGAAACACCTAGGAGATTTCTCCACTGTGACAATGCTCGAGGACTGGAAAGCTTGAAATGTTAATTAGGACCCACGCTTTTAGTTTTTTTTCCCCTTCAGTTTTGCTTTAAACCTACACTTCGCTGTTCTCATTGAAATATCCGTGTTTACTCATGTTTTCAACACATACATGGACAATTGTTTAACAATGCTGTAACTATATATACAACGAAGCTTAAAATTTTGAGATCTCTACATGAAATATATACTCATACTTTATATGTATAGAGAGAGAGAAACTATCTTATATATATTGTTTGTATTGGTTTTACCATTAAACTTTAAATTAGTTCAATTCTAGTACTGGTAGTTAGTTTCGGATTCGATTAAAATTCTAGATCATTAAACCATCAACAATCAAATGACATGGTAGTTTTGGTGTTGACATGACAGTTAAAAATATTTTTTTATTCCAACTTTCATCAAGTTTTTTCACTCTTTCTATGTGTCAGAATCTAACAATCTATGATGACTTTTACCGTCATCCTTGACATTGATGAATGTATCTCATCATCCTTTATCATTTTAACGGTTTAGATTTTCTCAAAACATCTTCTAAACTTACAAGTTAAAATATATATATATTTTTTTACTATTTTTGGGGTTTTGGGCTTTCTCGAATGCAAGGGGATTGGGGTGTTTGCTAGAAAATCCAAACGATGACAAACATTCTTTTGAGAATAACAACGTATCTCGAAACTAGTCTCATCAAACAATCGTCAAAGGAGACTAGAGCATTAGAACATCGAACATTTATATAATTTTTCGTCAATTTTGAGTGAGTTTCGTAGAAAACTAATCTAAGGAGTAGAAAAATGAGTGAAATGTGAACGTTTTGATATTAATATTGTTGTGGATGATCGATGACAGGCGATGATTGACCAACAAAGATAGTTGGAGGAGTTGAAATCAATATATATATATATATATATTTAGGCTTTTAGCTATGTTATATATATGTATATATTTTCATATAATCCAGTTGTTCAATATATAAAATTTATCGTATGAAAATTTAAAATTTTACGTCGTGAAATAAGTAATATAATTTATTACTAATTAAATGTTGAAAGATTAAAATTAAGAAGTGAATTAAATTCAGAGGAGTCTTACTAATCGGCTGCTTAAAATTAGGGTTCAAGCTGTAAAGTAAACAGATTCTAATAATAAATGATTTGCACAGTTTGTTAAGATTTGGATAAATGAATCAAATCCAAAATCTTTGGGAAAACTAAAGATTTAATATCTTAATTTTATAATTCTTGTTTATAATTAACAGCTAACTATAAATAACCACACCATGTTCTTCATTTTCAGTACTTGGTTTTTCTTCATTCTTAGTCATGGCGGGAGGTGTAATAGCAACTGATTCCGGAAGTAACCAAGACTTTCCGGCGAAGCTCACCGGCCAAGTCCTTATTTGCACCGTCATAGCTGCATTTGGCGGTTTAATGTTTGGCTACGATATTGGAATTTCAGGTGTCTTAACTATTAAAATTACTGCAGATTTTATGTATCAGTGTTTTCTAATTTTAGCGACGATTATACTTCAAAACGTCACTAGCTGTGGAAGATATAGCAATGTTATGGAATTAAAACGTCGTTAAAGACGCAATTTAACTCTTCATTAAACGTCACAGAATCGCTAACTATTTTGCTATATGTGTACAGGAGGAGTGACAGGAATGGACGAATTCCTGATGAAGTTCTTCCCCAATGTATACATTAAAAAGCACCACGCCCATGAAAACAACTACTGCAAATTTGCTGACGAATATCTTCAGCTCTTCACATCGTCCCTCTACTTAGCCGCCATCGTTGCCAGCTGTGCAGCCTCCTTTATGTGCAAGAAATTTGGTCGAAAACCGACCATGCAAGCTGCTTCTGTCTTCTTCTTCATCGGAGCTATTCTCAACCTGACGGCCAAGAAACTCGGTATGTTAATCCTTGGAAGGCTTTTCCTTGGTGCCGGTGTAGGATGTGGTAACCAGGTAATTCAACTAATCTTCTTCCCATTAATCTCATACAAAGAAAGCAAAGTTTTCACTTTTCACCATAAATTATCATGTTTTGAAACAGGCAGTCCCACTGTTTATTACTGAAATTGCACCGCCGAAATATAGAGGAGGACTCAATGTTTGCTTTCAGTTGCTCATCACTATCGGCATCTTGATTGCAAACTTGGTTAACTACTTCACCTCGAATATAAAACCGTATGGTTGGCGGATATCATTGGGCGGCGCAGCCGTGCCAGCCATAATCCTGCTTATCGGATCTTTCATTATTGTGGAGACTCCGGCGAGTCTAATCGAAAGAGGAAAGAAAGAGAGAGGTTTGAAAACTCTAAAGAGAATCAGAGGCGTAAACAATGTGGAGCAAGAGTTCGAGGAGATCGTTCGTGCCACAGAAATTTCCAATAAAATCAAACACCCTTTCAGGGAACTAATGAAAAGTCGCAGCGTTCCACCACTGATCTGTGGCACAATCATTCATGTGTTCCAGCAGTTTACAGGGATCAACGTGGTCATGTTTTACGCACCGGTGTTGTTCCAAACCATGGGGTTTGGTTCCAACGCATCACTTCTATCGGCTGTTATAACCGGCACGGTCAACGTATTGTCGACACTCATCGCCGTCTTCAGTGTGGATAAAGCTGGAAGGAGGAAACTACTCATTCTGGGAGCTTCGATTTGTTTGATTGCTCAGGTAAAAATCTCTTAAACCATTCGAGCTATACAATATTATGAACAAAAAGAAGAACAACCCTTGAATTGTTTCTTTGCAGTGTGTGATCGGCGGTCTTTTGAAAAAGTATTTGACGGAGACAAGCAAAGTACCTAATGGGACGGCCAAACTAGTGGTGGGACTAATCTGCTTATATGTGAATGGATTTGCATGGTCATGGGGTCCTTTAGGGTGGCTAATATCAAGCGAAGTCTACCCGTTGGAGACTCGAAGTGGAGGCTTTTTCCTTGCCGTCGCCACCAATATGTTCTGCACATTCTTAATCGCACAAGCATTCCTTTCCATGCTTTGTACCATGCAAGCCTACATTTACTTCTTCTTCGCCGCCTGGCTGGTGACCATGATAGTTTTCGTGGTGGCGATGCTCCCGGAAACCAAGGGGATCCCCATTGATGAAATGGTTGAAAGGGTGTGGAAGAAACACTGGTTCTGGAAAAGATTTTATAAATCTAGCGATATTGAAAGACCGAAAGCTTCGATCCAGCTCGAGAACCAGGACAGACCAAGCCAATAAAACCTTAGTTTGTACTATCTATTGATTTTTATTGTTTCTAGTAATAAGATAGTTCAGTGTAGCTGCTATGTAGCAAGTTCAGTGTATTAACTCTATGTAGTAAGGTCAGATGAAGAACATTTGAGAGATGCTTTTGGTTTTTAATTTATATATTAGAAATTATCTTTTCCATTTTAGAAGTTGTTCCAAGGTTTCCAATTCATACTTTTGCTTTCCATTTTTATGCATAATGACAAAACATCTGAAAGGCTATCCTTTTGTAGTTGGCAGGTTTTGCCTACTCATTTCAATTGATTAGTTCAGAAATATAAGGTTTCCATTATGTCTAAGGGTTGTTTAGAAAAGATATAATCTAAAAATATCCAGTCAACAAAAGCCATTAAAATATTATAAATAAAGCACTTTAACTTAATTTTGTTCCTTTTTCACATCATTTTGTGATATGCTGTGTAGGTTGTATTCGGTTTTTCTACCTATCACTTGTTATATATTTCTGATAAAATTCCTGTTTAGCAATAGTCTAACACATAGGAAATGGTTAGAACTTAATGATTTACCTATTTGCCTTGGTTGTCTTAGTCAAGGAGTTTCAACATTTATGGCATCTTATTCTAGTTGGAATTGATGAAAACTTCATCCTCACCATGTCCTCTTGACAGAAATTTTGAAAGACAAACTAGGTTTCGAGGTACATCTTATTTGCAATATATCCTAAAAGGCATCTACCATTTACAGTTTCACTTGTCAAGTGAAAGTGTGCTTAAATTGGTGAGAATTTTGCATTTCGATTGCTGTTATCCACTCTGCAGTAACTGTTGTTTCTTATTGAAATGTTGAATTTGCACTCCTAGGGAAACTTGATTTGTAGCTAGTCAAGCTTATGGGAAATCTCTTTGGCAGGGGGTTTCTGATTTCAGATTGGAAAGCGCTCGACAGACTTGCGAACGGAGAGGCTCAAACTATAGTCATTGTGTTGATACTGCCATTAATGCCGGAATTGACATGGTATAATTTGGTTCGAGGCATAAAGGCTTCTTTTCTGGATTCATATCTTTATTTACTCTCAACTGACTAAAACATGTATGCAGGTTATCTAGCTTATGTTTTAAAGCCACATTATTGAATAAAAAATTGTTTAAAATATACATATATTTATTATTTAGGCTACAAATAATCTGAATGTTGGATTTATTTCGTTATAGGCGCAACAATCTTGGATGCATTGAGAGAAGTGATGGTAGAAAAAAAAACAGAGATGGTTTATGAAAAGTGTCCTTCACCAAATACCTTGGCTGAGTCAAACTTCTCTCTTGACATTGTAGCTGTTGGTGAAGGACCATACACAGAGTCTACCGCAGACAATTCGGAGCTAGAATCCCGTTAAACGGAAGTGAATTATAAGCACTATGGCTGACATAATCCCCACATTGGTGAATGGTGATCCTGATTTCTGGAAGAATTTTTGGATAAAAAAAGATGGATGCTCTGATTGCTGTCTGGTTACGGGGAACTGAAAGAAGAATCACCGATGTAGTTTTCGGAGACTACAAATTTGAGGGACAATTGCCAATGACATGGTTTAGGACAACCAATCAACAATGGAGACAATTCATGTGATTCTTTGTTTCCCCTTGGCTTTGGCTTGACATGCAGCAAGGAGAAACCTACAGAGTAAATGATTTTCATGGCCCAGGTCAGCAGTGCCAATGCTCTTTTCTTTTTTTAATAATCAAGGCACAGACAGCTGGTCCTTTTTCGGACTGTCTTTGAAATGCCTGCCCCATGAATGAATTCAACCACTTCAATCTCTCACAGTTTCCAAGTCACAAAAATGGCAGTCATCATGTCTAGAGGGGACTGTCTCTCCTTTTTCTGGATAGTTATTTATGGTGTTTTCACTAGCATAATTCAAGCTTGATATCTTTAACATGCATGGATGCATGCATTTCTGAGGATGAAATTGATCCATGAGAAAAAAATGGGTATTTTGAGTCTTATCTAAGAAATCTCAGGGCAAGATTTGATGCCCCTTTCCCCTCAGATTCTCAACTAAAATCCAGACTATAGCAAATAATACTAATGACTAATGTTTCTGAATGGCATATATATGTCCTTTCTGCTTTATAATTTTCTATTGTCCTAGAGATACCCTTAAAACACATTGTTGTAGTCTAATTTGTTTCACTGGAACCAGATATGCAGTCTTGTAACCTTTTGGTTTCATGAATTATTGCACGCTTTTTTTTCTTTGAAATGTGCAGAAAGACCCCAAAATCAGATCAAATTGAAATATTTTTTAAGCCATTGAAGAACAGCATTGAAATTAGAAAACAACCTCTTCCCCAATGTAGTTGTAGATAAGAGCTTCAGTTACAAGCATCAGTTTTTTTTCCCAGTTTTCTTTCCCAACCAGAAGCATAGTAAGAGAAGAATCAGAATAATGTTAGATAACCGAAAGGGTCAAATTATGACACAATATGTGGTCGTAACTTGTTAAGTTGCTGATAAAAACAAATAAGAATAAAGTTGCCTAGATGCCCTTTCTTTTGTTTTTTAAGATTATTCTGGCTAGTATTGTCAAGCTACCTTCAAAAAGCTAGCTACTTGATATGACCATATTGGTCATTTTGTCCCTGTATTCTTTTCTTCACATATAGGACTGAATATACAATATGCCACCAACTTTGTGTGGTTGCCTCTGCAAAGTAGAAAAATAAATAAAATAAACCAGCCGTGGTTTGGGAATACAAGCAGATAATGGAAGTAAAGATATACAAGAACTTGGTGCAATGGCCTACATATTAATAGCCACATGATTAAACCTGCAATCAACAAATATGGCCAAGTCAGTCCCTGCATGTCAGTGCGGTGCATCAATGTGCACAGAGATAGAGAGAGAGAGGTTAAATAATGATATGATCATGGAGGAAATCATAATTACATCAATTACTTTTGTGACGAAGCGTCGAAGATTGATTTCAAGACAATCATTCAACGCCATAATTAATTCAAAATAAGAAATGTGTTACTCCAATTAACTTTATGGGGTCTTATTAGTTATTAATCATTGCTGATTTGTTTTATTAAATGATACATATCATTAGTGAGAAGAATCATCTCTTTTTTATATCCAATGAAAAAACACACTTTAACAAAGTGTCTCCATTAAAGACACTTTATTATATTCATCAAGTTGATTGCAGACGTGCACTTAGTATCACAAAATCATGAACTTGCCGCCATTTGTTAAGAAGATTGAAGGAGAGAGATATCTTAAACACACTTTAAGAAGGGTTTTACTGAAAAAAATTATATAAATAATCAGGGAAACCAACAGGGCAATCTGACCTGAATCTTGCTTTTGAATGCCATACTTACATGGAGGAATCTTCTTTTTCACAAGAGGATCTCTTAACAAAGATCTCACGAGGAAGAAAAGGGGGAGAATTGAAGAATATGATGCTCGTGCTAGTGGATTTTTGAAGGTCAACCACAGTCAAGTAGGCCATTTTTGGGGTATTTGGAAAATGGGTTTACTACAATAGTCTCAAATGCCCTGTGAGTCGGCCCATATGAACCGATATCCAACCAAACCGGCTAAAAAGTGTGCTGGTGCAACCATTTATAAAGGTTGAAGCTTTACGTAGTAATCTACACCCTACATGGGGATGCTTCAAAACCTTTTAACCTATAGACTTATAACTCTTGTAATAGCAGCAGAAAATTGATTTTTTTTTTTCTGTTGAATCAAATTACTAAGATTTACAGCATGGAACTGCCAAAAGTATAAAACCATATTGATGAACTTCTGAAAATTACAGCCACTCGGTCATGCCTAGAGCTGTCTAAGCTTCGAAACTTCTGGTTGTAGATGCTTATTCTACTGCTTCATTCTTCATGTGAGCCTGCAATTCGAACCCTACTCTCCGATTCATGTATGGTACCCGCTCCAATCTTATCTTTGAACCTTCTTAAGGTGCCAAATAATAGTGCAAAAGTAGTGTATTCTTATCTTATGTTTCAAATCATATTCCTAGACTCTAAGACAACTTTATCTGTAGCACATATCCCACATGTTGATCTGTCGGTGAACTCCAGATAAGCTTGCCACTATTACCAAATAGCATGGCAATTTGATCAAGGGACAATCAGATTCAACTACAGAATCCTAAAAACAAGGGAAATCTATGTTTAAGAAGCTTCCCTCAGAGTTTCACATTTCATAGTCTTGAAATTCGTAGCAAAACTCAATCCTATCACCTCTTGGTTGAAAGCTATGGAATAAACTAAAGCTCTTGATAATATACAGATAGTAAGACCATAAAAGCACAAAGACAGCTATGACAATCAACTGGAAGATGGCATGGCTTATCTATCCAGGAAAACTCAGAATAGGAGGTCTTGAGGGTATTGTTCGGCCGGTGGCATCTGAAAAAACAAATTTTGAGGTCCAAAATAGGATTCATGTGCAGCAGTTCTAAGCAGACTCTGCCCCTGCATTTTCAATCCATACGAAGGAACCCCATAAGGAGAAGACATTAGCATACTTCCTTGTGTTGAATTGAAAGGTGGATTCCATTGAAAGTTTGTTCTGGGCATGGCACCAGAATTTGGCTGCTGAGGTTGCACTGAAGACTGCTCGGGTGAGGGAGTTCCCTTATTATCCGGGGAAGGAGTTCTCATGTCATTGAGATTGACCGTTGTTATGTCATGAATGCTAGCTCTTCTCTTATCCTTCCCTCCTGAAAGCTGCCTGATGAAATACTTCTGCGCATGACTAGCCACCTGAGTCGGTGTTCGAGTGACAACGAAATTGCGAGATATGTTTCTCCAATCCCCTTTGCCATACTTTTTAAGCCCCATTAGAAACAATCTGTGAAAAATTCCATCTTGTCAATGAAAAGGAAGATAAATATAAAGAAACCAAGTGCAAATTATTACTCAAACAATTAGAACCTTCACAATTAATTTCTTAACCTGAAAGTACTGCCGATACAAACAGATAATATAGATCATAGAAGAATTAAAAAAAA